TTGCTTGCGTTAGTTAAGTACAAGTGCCTGTTTTGTTCGGCAAATGTCATTACTTTGTAAAATTACACGTAAAACCGATCGACACCTGTTACCACTCCCATTTTCGATAAGAGACCGACTTCCAATAGCACAAACGAAATTTTCTCATAGCTTTACTCGTACAATAAACGCGAACGTAAACTCGCAGGTGCAACTGTTTCAGAGCCGTCTTTTTTTCTAACTATCAAAACCCGATCGTATATTAGCATAAACATGAAAGTACATATGTCTACCGATTTACCTCCGTGCCAACAACATACGCTTATAAAATACGAGTCATATTCAACGGCGACTTCGATATTTCCTACGCATTGTCGTGTATATTGACAAACACGTTTTATTAATAGCGCCGGCAATTTTTTGACACAAAAAGCTAAGAATTATAGCCGAATCGTATGCGCATTTATAAAACCATTGTTGACCAGTCTCGTAAATACAAAATAAGTAGCAGATATAATCGCAGATGGTAGCCGTTAAATTGACAATAATTTATTGCGGGTCTTTATTCGATTTTATGACCCAAGAGGATGTGACAGGCATCATGAGCGCTGACGTTAGTTTGTTTTCCTATTGGTATAAGTTCAAGACTTGTTTATGAATTTAATGTTCGATAGATACCATCCATAAGGACTTATTGTTAGACTAGCCTTAACTAGCCCGCTTCGCTGATCGTAACCCTCTTCACCCCTTTAGGGTGTTTGAGTAATTATACCAAAGGATATTAACACCTCATTACAAGTAAAACTGACCGCAACCAAAAATGCTCCGGACAAACTTTGCGACCCCTTTTTACTTCCGTAGGGGTTAAATTATTCACAGAAAAACCCCTCAATATTTCCAGCTCTTGGTAAGTCTATTTAAGAGAATTTATGTATTATTATTTTTGTAATCCGAGTTCCTATCATCTGGATTGCCCAGTAATTCGGACGAAAATGAAATATTGCATTTGTGTAGTATGTACTCCATAATTCGAATTACACGTACATATATATACAATGTTTGCTAAAGCCCGTGTAGTTCGGGAAATCCCGGGTTGTAATGCATCATAGCGCCGAAGAGACCGCACAAAACGGAAATTCACAAAATCGGTACATCGACAAGTTTCCGACATTGATTTTTATCGTTCTATGTTATCATTAATTATTTATGTTTTTCACTGTTTTAATTAATGTATTATTGTGTCCATATGTTTGTCCTTGTCTTTGGGACTTTTACTTGTACTGTTGGACAAATTTAGTCTTTTCTTTATCATTTAGTTTTAAGTATTGTAGGTACCTATCAAATGTTTAGCTTTTTATTAGGTTTTACTTTATTTTTGCTTCATACAAGTAGGTTGAATTTTTATTTAACATCGTAATTAGAATGATCTATAACATATCAAACTATAAAGTTTGTTAGTTTCACTGAATTAGTAGAAACATAGCTTGTCTATTCTGAGGTTCGTCGCTTGATCTACAGTTGAAGTCTCCAACTATTATGTCCAATATTTTGAAAAGTAAAAGTAATAACGAAAAAGTTTTTAGACAAAAGTTTTTAAACTACTTAAGAACTACACACTAGTTCAATTTTTTTTCCTGATAATTCTGGTTTATACCAGGAAACACTTGAACAAACATAATTATTGATATAGAGAGGCGCGAATAGGTATGAGACATTTAGAACAATTAGCTTAACTTCCTATGCGTCAAAAATCTTAACTAGAATGGAAAAAGGGCGGAAGAACTGTTAAGGGAAGATCAATTTGGGTTCAGAAGAAATGGAGGAACGCGGTAGACCTTTCCAGCTTAGAGGGTGTACATAGGATTTGTAGATTTAGAAAGAAAAAGCTTTTGACAATGTTAAATGGGACAAGATGTTAAATATACTTAAAAAAATTTAGGGACGAGTTACAGAGATAGAAGAGTGATACTTAGTTTGTATAAAGAGCAACAGGTAGTTATAGAGCTGGAGCAGAAACGTTGAGAAGTAAATATTAGGAAGGGAGTCACACAGGGATGCACACTGTCACCGCTACTTTTTAATCTATACATCGAAGACGCAATCAACATCATTAAAGACAGTACAACTGTAGGGATAGATGTGCAAGGGCAAAAGATTAGTATGCTTAGATTTGCAGATGATATAGCAGTATTAGCATCTANTACAACGTATACCACTTCTAAGGGTAGGTATCCATATATATAAATAATAAAATTTACAAATTTGAGTCTCGTATAATTTGGAAATTCAAATTTTAAACAAATAATTGGTTATTTTTATATGAAAAATTTGGACACTCACATTTGATACCCTTTCAGAGGGGGTATGAAAAACCACGTCAGTCACCCTTTGCCACACGACAGGTGAAATATGTTTCGGTAATGCTATGACTTGCTGGTCGTGTTTTTTGGTTATAAAACCGGTCGTCCGCCACAATAAAGATCAGAACACAATTTAGGCCACGGGGTGTATGACATAAATGAGCAATATTTATTATGTAGGTATTAAATTTCTTTTGGAATGATAGCTCAAGACTCCTGTTTGAAGTTGTAGTAACTCCTGATGAGCATATTTGATGGAAACACCTAGCAACATAGTCTACAACCGTTGCTTCGTATTTGGGAGGTAATCGATTCAATTTTGGGTCTGTTTGCCCTGGTACAAGGTTTTCTGCGGTTTCCTTATCACTGTAGTATTAAACTAAATCGTATACAAATAATCTTATCTTACAATATATATAAATTACGTGTCACGTTGTTTGTCCGCGATGGACTCCTAAACTACTTCACCGATTTTAATCAAATTTGTACACCGTGTGCAGTTTGATCCAACTTGAAAGATAGGAAACCTTACAGATCTAGAATGTTCTAGAAGGTTCTAATAATTTCTGGAATTATCTAGAATGTTCCAAATTGTGTGCACCTGTTAAAATCGATATGGAATGTTCCAGAAAGTTCTAGATACCATTAAGCACGCGATGTATAATAACTCGAGCAACGCCGCGTTTCGCTGCTAGTTTAATATAAAAATACGGTCTTGACAGACCTTAATAAATCGTGTGAGTTATTTTATAAAAACTAAAGCCCGATTCACCTGTATGTGGTAGTACGGATGGATTATTAGGCTATATCGTTGTTGTATGTTCTTCTAGTTCTCTCATTGATCTGTATGTGGAAATAAAGCTTATAAAGGAGCAAAACACAGGTCGACATTAGATTGAGCAATGCTATTTCGTAACTGTTTATTCAAATCGAGTTTATGTTTGACTAGTCGCGCGAAGTTAACAGTCTGTTGCTTGCGTTAGTTAAGTACAAGTGCCTGTTTTGTTCGGCAAATGTCATTACTTTGTAAAATTACACGTAAAACCGATCGACACCTGTTACCACTCCCATTTTCGATAAGAGACCGACTTCCAATAGCACAAACGAAATTTTCTCATAGCTTTACTCGTACAATAAACGCGAACGTAAACTCGCAGGTGCAACTGTTTCAGAGCCGTCTTTTTTTCTAACTATCAAAACCCGATCGTATATTAGCATAAACATGAAAGTACATATGTCTACCGATTTACCTCCGTGCCAACAACATACGCTTATAAAATACGAGTCATATTCAACGGCGACTTCGATATTTCCTACGCATTGTCGTGTATATTGACAAACACGTTTTATTAATAGCGCCGGCAATTTTTTGACACAAAAAGCTAAGAATTATAGCCGAATCGTATGCGCATTTATAAAACCATTGTTGACCAGTCTCGTAAATACAAAATAAGTAGCAGATATAATCGCAGATGGTAGCCGTTAAATTGACAATAATTTATTGCGGGTCTTTATTCGATTTTATGACCCAAGAGGATGTGACAGGCATCATGAGCGCTGACGTTAGTTTGTTTTCCTATTGGTATAAGTTCAAGACTTGTTTATGAATTTAATGTTCGATAGATACCATCCATAAGGACTTATTGTTAGACTAGCCTTAACTAGCCCGCTTCGCTGATCGTAACCCTCTTCACCCCTTTAGGGTGTTTGAGTAATTATACCAAAGGATATTAACACCTCATTACAAGTAAAACTGACCGCAACCAAAAATGCTCCGGACAAACTTTGCGACCCCTTTTTACTTCCGTAGGGGTTAAATTATTCTTCATTATTACTTGTATAAATAATAAAGGAAAGAGTTTAAGGGTTTGGCCTGGACGTGAGTCAGAACTTTATACACAAAACAGACAACCAACCAATAAATTTAATCCGAATATGTCTAACGTCTCTTATTTTTATTTTGTGTTACACATTGGATTTCCAAAAGTAATAATAAGCAACAGTGTTTTCTTCTATATTGAATTTTAAGTACCAATACTGGTTGAAAAGAAAAAAATAATTCGACGTGGTCTGTATTCTGTCGAAACTGCTAGACGCGGATCGCGATTTCGATCCTTTTGGATCTCATCAGCGCATCGCAGGCAGCTCCGACAGAACACAGACCAACTTTTACCTGCTGTCTTAACAGTGCGTTTTAGAAAATACTACAAATGGCGCAGTAAACGCTATCTGTGGCACGATGCTACATTTTAGGATTACGTATGCTCCAACAAGGTCCACTTGTGTGGATATCTACTTGCTGAAAACGAATCCCGGCGTAGCCAACCTCAACGTGATAGGCACGTTAGCTTAATCGAATAAAATAATAATAGCATACGTAATCCTAAAATGTAGCATCGTGCCACAGATGGCGTTTACTGCGCCATTTGTAGTATTTTCTAAATACTGGTTGAATTTAATGGTTGTTCCGAAATCCTAAATATTGACATTTTATGATCATTTATTTGATCAAAATATATTCTAATTTTATATGTATTAGTATTTGGTAAAATAATCTTATTGTGATTATGATGGTTAATTGCTAACCTCATTTCCATCTGCATTGTTGTAATTGTTCCATAATTCTCTAAATATAAAAGGAATAAAATTGTATTAACGTACCTGTGGTCTCTAAGATGATCCTGCCTTCTGAACGCTTTTCCACAGATGTCACATGAGTAGGGTCTTTCATCAGTATGCGTCCTTTCGTGTATGAGTAGATTGTAACTCTTCGTAAATTGTCGATTACAAAATTTACAAATGAATTGCTTTTTCGGTCGCGAAGCCCTGCCAGGAGCCCTCAACAGTCTCCTGTCTAAATGCGCATGCATTTGGGGCCCTCCGGGAGGAAATAAACCTGCACCACTCGGAAACGGGAAAGCAGCGTTCGCACTACCGGGCAAAAATCCTGAATACGGATGGGTTTGCGATCCGCTACCACCTTCTAATAGTCCAGGAGGAGGACCGGGTCTGTGGGGAAGCATCAAGGCGGCCGCGTGGGCGGCCGCGGCCACACATGCGGCTTCTTCTCTCAGTTGTAACTCTTTTCTTTTGTCAGCCATCATGGCCATGATGTCGAAACTTTTCCGATAATTGGTGGAAGTATTTTCCGGTCGTTTACCACTTTCGCCTCGTTCTCGCGATTCTCTCATCAGTTCCGCGTTCATTAAAGGGTGAATTTCTCCCGGATATATGACGGGATGAACCGTCCGCGAGGGAACCACGGGGACGAACGCGGAAGATTCGCGGTGGTGGCCCATGGTATTCGGCAGGTCCATGTTCGGTATGTTACCGGGAGGTAAAGAATGGGAGAAACTCATGTGGGCATCGAAATTTGAACTGCTACGATTTCCCGACGAACTGCGCGCACTTGGTCCGGAAGACGGGAGCGGATACTCGCGACGTGATACACCCGTTCGGGATTCGGGAGTCCGCGAAGTTGGAACAATCGTAGCTGTCTCGGACATATTTACCTGAAACAAGAAATCAATAGTATTAATTTATAGTTAGCATCAACCTAGAATAGAGGGACAACGAACTACGCACAGTAACATAAATGCGAGGATGGTTTGTGAAAGGGTTCTAACTAAATCGCATTAAAGTTGTGTAAAATCGTAGATATATGTATGTCAAAATAAATGAATTACCGTATATGAAATGTTTTGTCAGTATAAATGATTTATCGAGTTTGCCAGTTTGTGGCGTGCTGATGAGATCTCATAAAATGGAAATCGCGATAGGCCCTACGAGATGGAAGAAATTGGAAGCGTCTGAGGTGTGATGTGTAAAAATATGATGATTATAAAAGAGTGGGTATTAGGAAGAGTGGAAGAAATCGGTAAAGAATAAGCGATATAAGTCATAAGGGTATCTTTTGAGACACGAAGAGTTAATTAGAGATATATCAGAAGCAAATTAATCATACTTGTTGAGCTGCAAGTAAGTGAAATACATAATGTACATTCATAATTTGTGGAAACTGAATGTACAGATGGTAACTTCATTTAATTTTTTTTTTTGTGTAACTTCAGCTCGTTAGTCACATTTACGAAATGGGGAAAGTCCCGAAGGATTATAAACGAAACGTGGTAGTAGTAACTATACCTAAAAAGAGAGGCGCGGATGGGTGCGAGACATTTAGAACAATTAGCTTAACTTCCCATGCGTCAAACTAGAATTATACAGAGAAGGGCTGAAGAACTGCTAGGGGAAGATCAATTTGGCTTTAGAAGAAACAGAGGAACGCCGGAGGCCATTCTACCTTTACGGGTAACAATAGAGAAAACGATAGGCGATATAGGTTGGTAGGGCACTTTCTTAGACATGAAGGTCTAGTCAAAGACATATTAGGGACAGAAAAAAGAGTAGAGGTAGACCTACATTAGATTACTGTTCGCAAATAGTTAAGGATGTAGGATGATCTAGTTTTAGGGAAATGCGAAGATTAGCTCAGGATAGGAAGGAGTGGAGGTGCGTATCCAATCAATCTTAGGACTGACGACCTTATAATAATGATGATGAAAGTAACGTTTTTTTTAGGTAAGGATCGTTCATAATATACATTCGCAAATAAGGGAGAGGGGGACCTAAGGAAATTTTATTTTAATGTTTTTCTTAACTTAGCAATTCTTAAAATTTTTCATTACTGTAGAAAGCCATTTTCGTTGCTACTTTGAATCACGAGAAATCGTCCTTGGGGGGGCAGGGTGGACCATCGTTTTCGACGTAATTTTTGCTAGGAGGGTCGCTGAATGTGTGTGGTAGTGGAAGGTGTCCAAAAAGATGAAATTCTGAGTGACGTATTTTATGAACGATCTCTATCCACAAATTTAATTGTCAGAATCAGAATCATTTCTTCATAATAACGTGTAAGTACAGACACGGAAGTTGCAATTTAATTAGTGACTACTTAAGCAAATCAGACCATCCACGTAGATTACTTAATAAGGAATTAGGAGCTGTTGTTTAAAGCTTACTATGTAATGATGACAGTAGATCATTTACACATTGCTCATTACAACACGTATAGAACCGGACTAGTCGGAATGTTGTAATTTTTTTCATTATTGTGCTCGAATGGTAGATCTAATTGTACGTAATAACCGCCAATTTGTGCCGGAATGTTTAATTATCGTTTTCAACGAAACTGATTAATTTATATGATAATTATAGCAACGGCAGCCGACTACATGGTAGCGGAGAAGCAGTAGTATAAGAAACGTATATATATATATGATAAATTAAACGTTACGTTAGATGTAATAAAAGGAAGTTGATGCAAATTGTTATCATCGAATGCGGTCGCAACAACTGCGAACTATTGCTGTTGTGTGTGGTTTTCACTCGCTTATCCATTATTATTCATCAGTAATTTTAGCATATTATGCGCGTAACTAAAAGATTTAATGAATGCTTCACGCGTCTTGTAATTTTAGTAAGATTAATCGCTTCTTTTTAATTGCCTATTTTTGTGTGTTAATGATTACCACAAAATCTACAATTTCAAAGAAATTCACCACCAAAACACTTATCTGTTCTTCCAACCACATCGACTTACAATTTACAATAAATATCAAATCTTTACTGTTTATTTAGGCTTCAAGGAAGATACTAAATAAGTTTTATTCGATAAATATGTAACTATAGTACTATATAAATGTCTTTTTACTCACATGAACTTGATAGCACTACATGTTGGAGCTTTCACTAAAGAGCACTCTTGTACATTTGCTTAAAACATGACGACTAAAAATCGTTTTTTTTTTTTCGACAAGTGACCGCGTTAGTGATGACTGTTCTTTTTGATGTTGCGTACGTGACGAAAATTTTGAAAACCTTAACAAACCGTAAAAGAGAAAATGTGTTTTTGGCTGCGGATATTCTTTGAGTTGCTGGCCACGGAGTTTCGAAAAAACAAATGACGCAGAGACACATGCTATGCCTACTAAACGAATGCAATAATGAAAATAAGAACATTTGAATTCAGACAATGGGTTCTTGCTTGTGCTGTGTGCATTTTTTTACCACGCAAATTTCGGTTGGGTGAACGTGAGGTTTTCCCTCCCTTTTTACATACAATATGTCATCGCTTTCTCAGAAATATTGAATCAGTAATGAATATCTATGTGTATTACAGTCTAGTAAGATAATAATACAAATACTGTTTTCAAGTAATTATTTATTAACCAATTTAAAACACAAATTAAATCTAAATCCATCAGTTGTTAGTTTGATTTTTGGTGTTTTTATCATTTAGTTTTAGGTATTATAGGTGCCTATCAAATGTTTAGCTATTTATTAGGTTTTACTTTATTTTTGCTTTACACAAATAAGTTGAATTTTTATGTAGCACCGTAATTAGAATTGTTCATAACGTATCAAACTATATGTTTGTTAGTTTTACTGAATTAGTAGAAACAATAGGAAAGATGGCTTACCTATTCTAAGGTTTATCGCTTGATCTATAGTTGAAGTCTCCAACCATTATGTCCAATATTTTGAAAAGTAAAAGTAATAACGAAAAAGTTTTTAGACAAAAGTTTTTAAACCACTTAAGAACTACACACTAGTTCAATTTTTTTTCCTGATAATTCTGGTTTATACCAGGAAACACTTGAACAAACATAATTATTGATATAGAGAGGCGCGAATAGGTATGAGACATTTAGAACAATTAGCTTAACTTCCTATGCGTCAAAAATCTTAACTAGAATGGAAAAAGGGCGGAAGAACTATTAAGGGAAGATCAATTTGGGTTCAGAAGAAATGGAGGAACGCGGTAGACCTTTCCAGCTTAGAGGGTGTACATAGGATTTGTAGATTTAGAAAGAAAAAGCTTTTGACAATGTTAAATGGGACAAGATGTTAAATATACTTAAAAAAAATTTAGGGACGAGTTACAGAGATAGAAGAGTGATACTTAGTTTGTATAAAGAGCAACAGGTAGTTATAGAGCTGGAGCAGAAACGTTGAGAAGTAAATATTAGGAAGGGAGTCACACAGGGATGCACACTGTCACCGCTACTTTTTAATCTATACATCGAAAACGCAATCAACATCATTAGAGACCAGTACAACTGTAGGAATAGATATAGAGGGGTAAAAGATTAGTATGCTTAGACTGCAGATGATATAGCAGTATTAGCATCTACCAAGGAGGAGTTAGAGATAGCTTTAAATAAAATGGAAGCGGTATTGACAAGACAGTATTGTATGAAAATAAATAAAAGTAAAACAAAAAATACTGGTATGCAAGGGAAGATAAAGTAGGGAAAGAGGAAATATAACGATAGGAGACGAAACATTAGAAGAAGTAGCTGATTTTAGGCGTCTAGGAAGGACCCCTTCTCAGGCATGAAGGTCTAGTCAGAGACATATTAAAGACAGAAACAGAAGTTACAAGGAGTAGAGGTAGACCTAGATTAGATTACTGTTCGCAAAAGTTAAGAATGTGGGTTATTCTAGTGTTGAAGCAGGATAGTCGGTGTTTAACTTATACCAGCTTCTGCTGCACGCCAACTAATATTGTACAGCTGGTTGATGATTTTTTTTTTACTAGTTTTATTATTAAAGGAATTAAATTAAACTAATGTAACTTAAATAACTAAATACGTTGTATTGAGAACCGTGCTTACTGATGTATATTGATGAACTCTGGTTAGAAAATTTCGGCCATGTATTTAAATAAACGAAAAGAGAAGAACAATTTAAGATAGATAGAGATAGAATTAGAAACTAGTATGAGAAACTTTACAGCAAATAACTGCAATTCAGGTAAATGTGATAAGTACAATTGAAAAGGTTATGAGAGGAAAATACGACCCTAATATGATTTTAACGATGACAGTCAGGTAAACATTGAATAGGTGGTTATTGTATTATAAATTCCAAGAGAAGATTCAATTGTAATATGCACGATAATGTAAATTAGGATCCAAAGAATGTACAGTTAAAACCAAAAGCAATCGAATAAGATTAAAAATTATAAAACCATCTATCTACTTAAATCTGTCATTAAATAAAAACCATAATCATAACAACAACAAACGTTTCGGCGAATAGCGACGGAACATCTAGTTCTAGGGAAATACGAAGATTAGCCCAGGATAGGAAAGAGTGGAGGTGCGTGTCCAACCAGTGTTAGGACTGACGACCTTATGATGATGATGTACTGCTGTTGATGAGAATTCCGCAGTTCCCATCATGTTTTATTACATCACTTGTTTGTATAACATTTATTATTAGTACAGTGGATTGTCAGTCCGTTCGCAATTTATTTCATGTCGAGTCTCCTTGAAGAACCAATGTCAATTATGAATATCTCTCGCTCTCTGGAAGATTAAATAATCGCGGTACGCGGTAATGAAAAACAAATTAGCTAGTTCGCAATACTTTTTGCATTGGACAGAGAGCTGCAGCAAAAAGTACAAGTTGTCGTCCATTATCGCGTCAATCATTCGGTTGCAGAATCAAA